TTTTAAATATTTAATAATATAAATAAATATTTATACAAAAAATATAAACTATACAAAAACTCAATCAGTAAAAAAATCATACTTTAGTAATAATGCATGTATGTACTTACTTTAATTTCTTTTCGGAGTACAAACGGTATAGTACAAGCGGTATAGTACAAGCGTATCAACAATTGTTTGTAACTTTTAAACTACTGAGGTACAAACGAAAGGAAAATCGGGACAAATAAGTACAAACGAAATACAATCTTCCGTAAAAATAAAATCAATTTTTTAAAAGTCTGATGCCATAATCAGATAGCTGGATTTCAGGGAAAAACGAACTATCGCAGTGGCTCTAAACATTTTAGAAGAAGGCGGTTCATTGTTATTTGTCGTTATTTTTTTATACGTAAAAAAAAAAACTAAAGGGATAAGAATCACCTAGTGAATATCACGGAATTTAAAAAAAGTTTAAATTTGTTGGACAGAGTGGAAATTAATTTCCAGTTTATTGTGAATATCTCCCGTTCTGTTCAATAAAAAGTCATGGTTATTTTACCAATTAATATGCACATTCGAGAATTTTTTCAAATTTTTTGGAAAAGTGCGTTATTGTAAAAAAATATTAATTTCATATTGCCTACTTTTTCATACCGACAAAAGTTGCACATACTTTTAAAATCGATATAATTTAAATATATTCATTTGCATAACTTAGTAACTAATTACTATACGAGCTTTCAAGTATGTATACTACCGGACCTCTGTCAATCAAAACTCCTGACACTAATTTTCAGAGAAAGAGGACAAAAAAAATTCTTTGGAATTTGAAGTGCCATTACAAAATTTAAACAGACAAAAGGCTGCATTTAAGAAAATAACAACAACCGATTTACTCGACTACTTTGCCGAAATAATGAATGGGCTAAATAAAAGGGTTAACTTTCCAAATCGTGCAAATCAGTCAAATAAAATCGTAGAAAGGTTTTTAAAAAAGCATTTTGTACGTAATATGTTGTAGTTTCTAGAACTTGAGTTAAATTTTTCGAGAGAAATTTTTTTATTAAATTGCACAGTATTAAAGATTTGTCACTTATGCGCAAAACAATGTATTCTTTTTTGCAGCACAGAACAAGTAAGACAAAAAAATTTGCTTAAACCATCAATATTACGTTAAAGTTAATATTTCAAACCTTAAAATGCTTATTTGTTTTTTTGTCTACGATGATTTTTCACCTAATATCGACACTTTTTGTAAGAAATGCGCATTTTTGTTCAAAGTCGTATAAATCGGTCAGAAAAAATCATAGGATAATTTCTAAAAAAGCTATTTATGGGTAACATATTGTAGTTTTCGAAATAAAATTTTTTCATTTACTTTTGAGTTGTTAAAAATACGTAATTTTAAAAGAAAAAATGACGTGTTACTTTTTAAAATACAAAACAAAAAAACAATAGAAATTTAAAAATCGCATAATAGCACATTAAAGTTGAAACTTCAAGCTTTAAAACGCTCTTTTAATTTTATTTTTACGATGATTTTTCACCGACTTACAGCTATTGGAATATAGCCAAATTTTTAGGGTTTATAAAGTGTTCCCTATTTTTGTTTTGTGCGAAAGTATTTAAAAAATAATAAAACCCGCAGAAATACTGCGATGAGGATTGAAGTACAAACCGTGTTATAAATTCTGTTAATGAAAAGAATAACAGGTGAATCTTGTTTAGATCTTTTACTTACATTAATGCAGAAATATTTAAGGAATATTTAAAAGACATATTATGCATAATGTTTAGGTTCAGACGAAATGTTAGCAGTGTCGCAAAAAGTCAACAAATATTTTTGCGTATTTAAAAAATCTACATAGCATATTTCATTTATGAATCATCAGAGCAAACTTTTCCACTATTACTAATCATTTATATGCAGTGTTGTTAGAAATATACGAGTTTAAAGTTGGCATTTTTATAATACTAGTTATTTCGCTCTAAACGGTGTAAACGATCTTTTGAATTGCTTTTATATGTTTATTGGTCGCATGGTTCCCAGAGCGGGTCATTTATACTGCGGAGCTCGGCAAGATTTGCACCTTTCGACCGTTTTTCAGTAAACCCCGCACGGCTGACAAGCCGTTCTGAGCAAGACCGTGTTACCTCGTCGGAACCTTGTGACCATATTTTTAAGGAGGGATTCCAGAGTAACAGTTTTAGAAAAAGGTGATTTTCATGAATTTGTTTTGAAAAACTATTAATAATTCCCGATGCCACATACTTCCGGATTGTTGACGTACAGTATAGCACCTGTAAGAAGCATCCGATAACTAAAACTGAAGTTTCCTAACAGTTAGATTGTTCATACTGAGATTGCACCAGTTTTTTAAAAGAATACATGAAGAATTGAAAGAGTCCTAGTAATTTGAACAGAAAATGAATTTTTTGACACAAAAATCAATTTCATATTGCCACTAAAAATGTCGTCAAATAAATAATACAATTTAAATTGTTGGTATAAACCCAGGAGAAATTTATATTGATACAGCTATACAGATCAAACTACGGAATATGTATTTTCCGAAATTTTGTTTTCTTACATTATGTTAATGCAATAACATAATGATCAGTTACGGTCACGATGAGAGGGTAGACCTTCATCGCTCCTGGTTTATGACCTATTGTGATAACGGGCACATTTAATATTTTTAAAAGGTTTAAGAAAAATTTTTACTAGCCTCGGTCATAAATCTAGTCGATTCAGTGCGGTATAAAAATATTAACTCCATTCGCGACTCAACACCTAGTCTTCAAACCTATTAGGGATCCGTTCCTTTTCTCTAATGTGCCTGCTGTGTTCCACGAGGTGCTCAATTTGCAAAATTAAATCTTTATTAAATCACTTGTGGTGTCTTCTTAAAACATATTCCCTATTCCGACAATCTTTTTGTCATTTTATATTTTCGTTTTAGAAGAAGGCTCCTTCATTTTTTTAAACTTCAATTTCGGAATTATCTTTGACATTATTGACATTCAATTCTTCAGCAATATATCCCGAGAATGTTTCCACATTGTTAGGTTTTAGTTCCAATTCTGTAAGCCGAAAGTAGTGAAGCAACCGTGTTGAACTTCGTTTGTTCGGAATATAAACGCAATCGTCTCAGAAAGTAAAATAATTCGAAACTGTATTTTTTTATTTTTGTAATAAAGACATATTGTAAATATAATACCATTAAACAATTTTGATAAGATCCTCCAATATTTCTCGGGTAGGCGATATTACGTGTACTTTTTTAAGATTCCGATTTTCACATGACTTGCGTTTTCTCAGTTGTAAAAAAATATCAATTACTCTTCAATGGAGAACGATTTGAATTTGGATAGTCAGAACGAGATGCAGTTCCCCTACTGGTTTGCAATTAAAAAATTATTAGTTGTCCACATTTGTCCACGTTCTGACTGCTTGTGTTCGATAGCCTATGAGTCTAGCTTTATGCACAAAAATCTTTCGGCGATCAAAAATCCGTAACTTTGGTTCTCTTGAAAATATTTTAACGAAATTTTAGGAACTTATTCCCTATACTATGATACTTAATTTGTATTAGTATAAATCAATTTGAGCTACAGGGTGTCCAAATATTCACGTATAAAGTGTAACGCGTTCAATATCTTTCACTTATTTGACATATTTATTGTTATTTAACCAAAATTCGACTCAAACCTGTTATTAACTATGAGAGAAACGTATTTAGTAATTTAAAAATGACAAGATGTACGTAATAATCATAGAAGTAAACGTACAAACGTACATACTATTTTTTGTTCGAGTCCTACTTAGTACAATCGGCAATTTCTCGAAAAGGAGCACGAAAGGGCACCTGATCTTTGCAGAATCTGATAGAGGAAGGTCCACTCTTTTCAGTGATAGCAATTAAACCTCGAACAAGTACGGTCAATTTTTTACAACCATGGGTAACGTTACAATTTTACTTAAATGTACTTCTCTCCAAACAGACCCTATTATTTAAAAAGTTGTTAACATTTCGACTTACTTTATGCATTGAATACTATCTATACAAATCTAGTAAAAAATACAATTCATTTGAATATCGTCTTTCTCAGCAAAGTTTTTTAGAATCGTATATTGAAGTTAGGAGTAATATCGTAAGCGTTTTGCTTGGACGAATTTCAACTGCCTTTGAATGCGCACCACAGCAAAACGGAAACAAATATCAAAAATCGGATTGTACTACATTAAACAGAAATTTATCCTCTATCGATGTACATAAACAGTTTTTCCATTTTTTGAATTCACGAAAATCGATTTTTGATCGCCGAAAGCCGTTTCGTCCCACCGCGACCTGTCGTATCGTTGGATGGAGCGTTTAACGTTATCGAGAAGAGGGTGAGTGTTGCAGCAATTGTTGATCCGGTTGAATTGTAAAATTCAAGCTATTGAGGGACAAACGAAACGAAATGCGGTACAAACGATTCTAAAGAATAGGGAAAAACAGATTTTAAAAATTTCAATGTCGGGTGCGGGTCATTTAAAAATTTTTTTTATTTATTAATTGATGAAGGTACAAACGAAACTATCGATGGTACAATCGAGTACAAACGAAATACTATCATTTTCTATACAAAAAATTAATTTTTGATGAGTCGGGTGCCAGGTTCACCTAACTAAAGCAGCAGCTATACCTATATTGTTTGAACGCAGGGAAGTGAGATCTACGTGATTCTAATCTTTATTCTGGTGTGAAGTTAAATTTAAATCAAATGTAATTTTATTAATATCAAATTTAAATCATTATTTTAACGAAAGTGACTTTATGAAGATGGAGAAGATTTAAATGCAGCATGTTCGAGCTAATCCCGCGCTATATGATCCGACGAATAGGGAATACCGGAATCATCATTCGAGGAAGGAGGCTTGGGACGTGATAGGAGAAAAACTCGGCATGCCAGGTGAGCGAAAACAATCATTATTATTTTTTAAGACCATATATGTTAAATACGAATATTATTTAAACTCTCCCCCTACGAATTGAATCCCACTGCCAAGGACAACTGGCTGAACCATCTCTAGAAATGAAATAATTTTTGTAGCTGTCTCTGATTGCGACTGCTTCTCGAACACAATTTCTACGTATAGGTTCAAGGTTGGCAATCCCTTGAATTTGTGTATTATCTATTCTAAAATGTTCCTCGAATGAAGAAGAAATGCTGTTTGTATTGTTCCTCAGCATGTTGTGAAGACAAGTGGCAGCCAAAACTATTTTATCCACAGTTTCGGGATTTGTTTGGATTGTTGTTAAAAATACCCTCCAACGACCGGCTAAAATCCCAAAGGCATTTTCGACGATCCGCCGAGCTCTGGAGTGCCGATAATTGTACATTTTTTCATGATCGCTAATAATAGCTGTTCTACTATAGGGCCTCATGAGGTATGGCTTTAGCGGAAAGGCCTCATCCGCCACAATCACATATGGCAATTGCCCTGTTTATGGAATACCGTATTCGTTTCTTGCAAATTTCCTACCCATATTTGATCTTTTAAACGTGTCTTCATCACTGCTTTTACCGAATGCTCCTACACGAACTAGGATAAATTTGTAGTTGGCATCGACCAGTGCCAATAAAACTATTGAATATGTCCCGTTATAATTATAAAATAGGGATCCAGTGTTCGCAGGACATTTAATTTGAATGTGTTTCCCGTCTAGGGCTCCGATACAACTAGGATATTTCCATTTTTTATGAAAATCGTTCGCAATTTCCCTCCATTGGTCTCCCTTCGACTCGGGGATATATATCGGCTGGAGGATCTCCCATATTGCCTCACAGCACTCCTTCACAATTTCCCCAATTGTGGAATACCTAATCCAGAAAGAAAATCCTAAAGATTTAAAAGAATTTCCATTGCCAAGTAGCTGTGAACAGAAAAACAAATCCGTTAATATTAATTTATTAATCTTTGCATTATCCTTCAGGTGGCCTTTTATTGCCGTTGGTTGCTAGAGGACAATAAACGAATAACTAACTAATTGATAACTAAAGACTGAAATAATAAAGTAACTAATTTCTCTGTTTCAGGCAGTGATTGCAAGGACATGTGGACTAAGCTCCAAAATGCATATACATATACAAGCCCGGAATAGAAGAACCACCAATTGTATTGCATAGCATGACTATTAACGAGGAGCTCGCGAGAATCGTGTGTGCCAAGACGTACTGAGAGTCAAGACGTTATGATTCAATATTATTTGTATTTTTGTTCATTCTAATAAACATTATTTCAATCTCATCATTTCCTACATATGTATATATGTATGAAACATATTATTCCTATACTATACTATACTATTTATCTATCAGATGTACTATTTATATTCTTTTACAAATTGAAAAAAAGAGACAATAAATAACAAAAAAACCATCTTTTTCTAATATGTTTAGAATCACTGCGATAGTTAATTTATCACTGAAATCCAGCTATGTAAACCTGGCACCTGAATTTTAAAAGATTATTTTTTTTCAGAAAATGATAGTATATCGTTTGTACTTGTTTGTACCAACAATAAATCCGTTTGTATTTTTTTTTTCAATTATCAAATAACACAAATTTTTAAAAAAGCCAGCACCCGACATTGAGATTTTCAAAATTCGTTACAAGCAATTGTAGAAACGCAGAATAGGTAACGCAGTCAATGTTAAAAATGTTTAAAAACCGTTTTTCCCATGTGATTCAGAATCGTTTGTAATTGTTTTGATTTTGAAAATCTTTGTAAATCTTGAAAATCGGTACAAACGATTCTGAATCACATGGAAAAAACGATTTTTAAAAATCTTTAACATTGACGGTGTTACCTGTTCTGTGTTTCTACAATTGCTTGTAACGAATTTTGAAAATCTCAATGTCGGGTGCTGGCTTTTTTAAAAATTTGTGTTATTTGGTAATTGAAAAAAAAATACAAACGAATCTATTGTTGGTACAAACAAGTACAAACGAAATACTATCATTTTCCGAAAACAAATTAATTTTTTAAAAGTCGTGTGACAGGTTCACATTACTCTAAAATCCGCTTTCAAAATAATGTGTCAGCACTTACCTCAAGTAAACTGCAAGCCGTATCTCAGCCGGAATACTTTTTTCAAATTGTGTACACTGTTTTTCAATTTTTGTTCCCACTAAACTGAGTACATGATAAAATTCACGTTTGGTCATCCGATAATATGTTTTGAACCGTTCTTCGTCCTCAATTAATTGTAGCATTAAATTTTGAAATTCGCCAAATTTATTTCTTTCCATATTAATTGGATGCACCTGCGATTCTCTCGTCGAGCAAGTGGCTGCAATACACATTGCAGCCATTTCTTCTTCTTCTTCGCCGTGCAGCGGTCGGTTTCATGAGTTACATGTAGGCACCAATCTGACACCGCTTCGTCGTGTCTGACGTGGGCCCACGCCTCGTCAGAGCAATCTGTGGAGCGCTTAACTCACATACAATGTAAGTGTTCTCTTACAATGTTTTGTTTTTCGAATTTTAAAAACACAAAAATTCAAACCATATGATTATTATGTAGAGCATACTTTACATGCGAGTGGATTTATGCCTCTTCGTTTTTACGGGCCTCTCACTTCTTGTCGGATCTCTCACTCGGCAGGCGACTTCAAATAAAAAGGTGGGGATTGCGAGTTGCTTATTTCGAGACAATACTGTATAACCAGACTATTTTTAATATTTATCAATGCGTTCTTACGTAAATGAATTCGCAAAAAATGTTGCTGAGATTGTTTAAATGTTGCTAGGTATAGGTGACCTCAAAGTATAGTTTCTTTGTTATGACTGTATAGTATACATGAATACCATGTATGTGCATTTCCTGTTACATGAAACATTGCGTAACAATTTTCTAACTATAAATAGTATACCTAAATCTTAGGCACGTTTAATGTAATCGAATACTGTTACACTTCAGCACATATTATATCTAATAATCTGTTGTCTGAAATATGTAGATTTTAAAAAAGTTATATAAATATGATTCTATGATTAATTATATTTCACAAAATATTCGTAGCAATATTCATTTCTACGAACATTGCACAATTTCATCGAAATTTCCATTTCGCTTGGAGATTAATTGATATTTGCTAGTATTTTCAATGTAAATAGCATACTAAGTTACTTGAGATACACTTAAGTGGAATGGAAAATGATATCCTTCGTGCTATTAATCGCCAAATCTGCTTTTGACCACGCAGGGACGTTCTGTTTGCATGATCTCCTTGATGTTCAAACACGATCTCTGAGATCTGAACTTATGACATTCAAACAATCTACCATTTATTGGAAGTATTATTGGTCAGACAAATCAATACCTCGAGAGTACGTCCAAATAAAGATATGACTTTATTTAGCAAGTTATTAATATTATAAGTAGCTCCAATTTTGGTCGAAAAATTGGCGACTTTTATACTGGGAATGGAAAGTTTAAAAATATCCATGAAACGTACATGTCATCTGAAAGTACATAAATTATACGTGTACGTGAATTTCTATTTGTGAAATATAAACGTGGATAAGAATATGTTTGAAATATCTAAATGCGTTTGGTATAATTAATTAATAATTACAGATACAAATTCATCTGTTCATTCATACTGAAGCTTGTTTCAAAAACAGTCTATTGCAAATTTAATGAATGCAATTCTTACATTAGAATTTTTTGTTTGGAAGTAAGTTTTGAATAGTTTTGAATGAAGGCATTTAGAAATGATCCTTATCTTTGTTCTTCAAAAGACTTTTAAGACTGCAATGTGCCTAGGAAATAGAAACAAAACGAAATTTGAACGTAGTTAAATTAATTTGTATTTTAATTTCTACTGTGACGTGGATTCTCAAGGACGACTCGTTCCTCCTCGCCACTGATGGCAATTGCACCACCTCGACTTGCTCTCGATGTTTGGTAGAGGGGAGTAGGTTCCTCGGAGAAATAAAGCGCTGAGGACGATTTCCTAGAATCTAATTATTTATTTCCCAGCTTTCGCTGGAATCCAAATTTACACTATACACCACTTAAATCTAGAACAAAACTTAAAACTAAAGACAATTAAACGGCGCCACGTCGCGTCGACGTGATTCTCGGTGGGGAAGCGAATGCACGAGAAGGGAGAACTCTTCGTGCAGTTGGATCGGAGGGATGCAATCGGCGCGGCAGGACGAGCTGTGCGAGAAGGGAAAACTCTTCACACAGTCGATTCGGTCGGGCAACGAATCCACGAGAAGGGAGAACTCTTCGTGCAATCGAATTGGTAGGAACGATCTGCGCGAGAAGGGAAAACTCTTCACGCAGTCGAATCGGTAAGGAGAAGACAACTTCGCGAGGAACTCTGCTCGGCGTCTTTGCGGTTCTACACCGCGGGAATATCTGATTTTGATGTTCGACGAACCACTTTATATACTCATTTCGGCCGCGTTGCCGAAATGGTATGTGTTTGTCGATGTGTCGAAATTGCCGTTAAGTATTGTTTATCGACGCTGTCTGGCATCGGCAGCCAGTGTTTACGTCCGCGACTGTTGTTAGTTTTTGTCACCGACGGTTACGCAACGTGGGAACGCGCCCACGGTCGGCGATTCGGTAAACGTTCGATGTGTTTTTGTATCTCGCCATGTTTCTTAATCTATCGTCTTAATTCTAGTTAATCTTATTCTATGTAGCGAAGCGATTCTTCGTCTTGTAACAGATAGCGCCGGTTTTCTGTTACACTACATATTGTAGAAATATTGTATTATAGTAAAAAATTGTATGCAGCTGTTAAAAATTATTTCTACACAGTGTTTACATCCTCGTTTTGGATCTCATATGAAGTCGATTCGGAAGGAGATGCATTCCTTTCTGAAAGTAGAACCATTCGTTACCAGTCAGACATACTTCTCGCGAGAAACAATCTCCATCATCGGTCACGTTGCGCCCTGTCCGAGGTGCTATGGTATTGCTACTTCATCTAGCCTCTGTCAAATTTACACAATTCTCGCTGCAAAATGTTCCAGTCGAGTAATATAACACGTTTCAACTATTACCTCAGTGCAATTTATAAACTGACTCAGCGTTAACTAAATAACGCCGATGGAAGGAAATAAAGTTGCAAAACTAATACAATGATGTAATGTCGCAAGTAAAGCCCATTACCTTGCTATTTAAATACAGTAACCGTATTTTTACAATAACTACTCATTTAATTTTTAGGAAATGATTTTAAATATTTTTACTTTTCACAAATTTGTTCACAAGAAAGAAAATGTTGAACCTATAATCGGATAGTTAATATAAGTGGTAAATATAGTTATTTTTATTGAAAATTATTAATTAAGACTTTCTAAAAATGTTCCGCAACAAAATGTAGGAAGAATGTCAAATTGGTCCAAAAATGGAAATGTCAATTATTATCCTCTTGAATGGCCTAATTCATTGGTATCTCTGTTTGAAGATAATTGTCCTTGAAAAGAGTTACTAAGCATGGTTAGAACATTACGTAACATTTGTCATTATTTTTATCACCAGAAATAGTAATATATGTATAATTTTACAGTTATTAGCTAATAACTGTTTCAAATTAATTGCGTCTAAAATTTTACATGGACTATTCCACTTTTTTTTTATCGATCATTAATTAACTTTAAAATTATTTGTTTTGCCATTAGATGCTATTCACATCTGCCGCGTCATTGAGTTTGATAGAGTTTTGATGAGTTTGATTTCAAACTAATAGACACGTCTAACGCAGGATCCACCAAGCCTCACTGATAAATTCAACTGGCATGTTCGGGACGAAACACAGTAATTTCATACTCTAACTATGAAAGTTGTAGATCCTACTATATTTATCACTAACTAGCATAATGTTGCTTTGATTTACTAAACACTGCATATCGGTATAAGAAGGGCAGCGTTTATCAACATAAAGAGTTAAAAATTCAAATTTTGTTTCTTTATACGTTAATTTTGAATACATTACATAGATATTTAATTCAATATGAACGCAATAGTTATTTGCAATTTACTGTGGGCAACGGAAAAATAAATTACAACATACAGACAAGATTTCTAAGTATAACACCGGGTCGATCGATACTGAAAATCGGAAATGTCGTGTTTGCGGTTCTGTGAACCCTGTAGGTTTTTAAGTAAATGTATGTTTGTTATAGGATTAAATACTGCATTTGTATTTATTCTCGGCGCGAGCGCTTGTGTATGGCGCTCGAGTGACTTGATTTGAATTTGAAATTGAAATAAATATTAGTCACTTCCATTCTCTTCAATGTGTTGTATTCATTCACTCCGGCGATGCCCACTCCACCTCATTCCCCACATACTGTACAGGACAAGATCCAACAGTCGAGTAACGTCAAGACGAAAACGAAATAATTGTGATGTGGTTGGCCTATTTTCTGACATCTGTCTTCCAGATTAAATTCTACAGAACGTTTGAAATGTTTAAATATAAATAACAAGGACACTGAGAACGTTCAACTTTTTGATATGTACTCATTGTCAGTTTGTTCAGTGTTAAAATAAAATTAACGAAAGACAGTTTACGAATGAAGATAAATGGTATTCAACCAACCATTTCCTCTTTCAATTTTTAGTTGTTGAGAATTCATACATTTGACGTTGGTTAATACTTCTGTTAAAACAAATTATGTTCCTTGCAGTCGAAGCAAGCGTTTTATTTAGTATATACGTTCTCGAGTCTCTACATTCAATCATCTTCGTATCATTATCATCGTATTTTTAACGTATTCGAGATGATTCAAATAATGCGTCTAAAATTTTACATGGACTATATAGAATATTAGATCCGACTGGACAACACATAATTTATTAGTTCATTCAATGACACGATATTTTAGACAACTAAAAGGCTACAAAGTCTGCTTCAAGAAACAGCTCTTTCTACAAAATATCTAACAAGGATGTCTTATTTTATTTTTAAATAAAAACGGTAATACCGTTGGTTCTTATTTCCTTGAAGATAAATGAATTTTCGTTTCGAATTTTTAATCCTTTCACCGAATATTAATTAATATTCACGGTTATAATTACCTTTACCGTGTACGCAGGAACCCTTTGCCGGATCCATAACGTGAAAAACTTTATAACTTACGAAGACCGCCAGTGTTTAGCTTTTATGTAAATGTTAGTTAGATCGGAAGGTTGTTCGCAGGAAAAATATTCATTAAGGCAATCTGCAAACAATCGACGAACAACCGTGCTTCGTTTCCCAGTAAAAGAGAAATTCTGTACAAGTGAAGTTTATTGCCGGCAATGTGTGTTTAGAATAAAGGAGACGAGGTAGTGGTGAAAAAC